GATAATTTCAAAATTATTACATCATTTTTGTTCAATCAAATTAACTTATTCTATTTTGATCATTATATTTATCGATTTGCAAACAAGATTTATCAAGTTTTACAAATTTCTTGTTTGATAATTTTCATTATCCAGTAGATATCGATAGTCCTTTATTTTATTTTTTTTTTTTTTAAATATAAAAATCTACTTTTAAATTTCTCCTTTTTCCAATAGAAATTTTTTCATTACTAAAATTATTGCCAATTTTCTTTTGTAAGTTTTGGTTTCTCTTTGATAAAATATATTCTTTCTGTTGAAGATTTAACAAATAATACTTAAAGTTACTATGATGTTTCAAGTTTACTAAAGTATTAAGGGAACGCCATACATCCAATACTTTCTGAGAACTGAAAGACCAAAGATTGAATGGAGTTAATATAAGCGCTGTATTAATATAGATATTTATCTTACTTTTCTTTTCAGTCAATATATTATTTTCAATATCATGACTCATACTCGTCGTCAAATACAAAGAAGGGGTTGGTCAAATCGTCAAAGAGAACATGCAAGAGAAAGAAGAGAACAAATACGTAATGAAGGTGAGCTACCTGGTGGATTTGGTGAAATGCCTGAATTGCAATTATTATATTGAGACTGTTCCTGAACTGCGACTATCATTTTGGGAATGGCTGGATTCATTAGACTAGTTTCATTTAATCGAGTTACGCATAGACTAATGTTTTCCTTTTCTATATATATTTAATATATATAGGTCGTCAAGAGAGTCGCAAAGAAGTTTCGACCTTATGAGAACAGTTGACAACTTCCTTAGGACAAACAGGAACTTTTTTTGTTGAATTTGATCAAGTACGTAATTTACTAATGGAACTTTCAACCTTTTTGACCCAAACTGAAAATAGGTTCCAAGATCTCCAAGAAGCTTATGATACTTTGAATCAAGATTTTCTTCAAGTTCAGCAAGAAAGGGATTTACTCCAAACAAATTCTCAAGCACGAGCTATACGAATTCAAGAATTACGAGAGACTTTAGAAATAGTTCGTAGACGGTATCGGCTAATTACACAGCAACTTCTTGATCGAAGTGTAGAGTATGGATTTCGTGTGAGATTTTGTCGTCCTCGTGAGGATTAAGTATAAATTTCCTTTTAATGTTCATTGTTTTTATTTATAGAAATAGTCTTCTCTATATGTTTTTTTTTTTTGTATTAATTTTCTTATATTTTAATAAAGTTTTGCGTATTATCGCCTTTTGCCTTTAATAAATTCTATTAGTAAATTTGTTATCCTATATTGTTATTATTTTACTAAAATATTTTTAAGAATTTCTTTCGCGATATGTGGCGCAGTAATGAAGATCTCTATCAAAATTTTCTATTAAATACTTTTTAGCACGTTTTCTTGATTATCTCAGCATCCAGTGGTCCGTTCTTAATGTAACACATATAGTTTTGAAGAGCGCATCTCGGCGCACACGATGGTCCTTGTTTCATGAAATTCCGATCGGTAGATCACGAGAAAATAGCTTCCGAGACTTTTGTTTTAATTCGTTACATAAATTTTTGATTTTTAGTAGTGCAGTAGATTTGTAAAATATAACTCTCTTTTTCGTATTTTCCACTGATATTCTACCTGAAGAAATCTCTTAAGATCTGGTTGGTAACTGTTTTTCATGCTAGAGTATTCAAATTTATTAATTTGGG